GGATCTCTGTGGGAATCAGGACAAAGGCCGCGAGAGAAGGGAGAGAAGAAGGGAGAGGATAACAAGCCCCAAAGAGCACACGGGTGCAGACATGAATAAGGGCTTTACTGTGGCTGGGATGGTTGATCCGTTTGTTTGCTTTTTGTTTTGATTTTTGACTTCAACCTCATTTGTAAGAAATTCACATCATCTTTCCGGACCGGAAACTGGGAACGGCGTGAAATCAGTTTAGCCCATTGTCCTACATGTTCCAGCCTCCTTCCTATACCTGCATACACCACACGCCACTTGTAACAACCCCACACCACCCCCACCTCGGTGGAGGGACTGCTCTTCCCAGAATGACATGACACAGGTGCACACACACACAGGTCTCCCCTTCACTCAGTCTACACTGATTTTACTGTGACCTTTGAAGCTGTATGGATAAACTGGATTTATTATTATTTTTTATGTTGTCTCTCAGTTTCAGTATTACTCATCTTCCAGTGGGAACTCATCACCCTGAGAGTGCATTCGGGGTTCCTTGTGTTGGAAATTTAAAACCTGAGGCAAGGAGCCCCTAAGCTTTGCTGTAGGGCTCACAGGGAGCCAGGGTCCCATCTCAAAGTTCTCTGCTGGGGAAGGGCCTGTGGCTGTCCGAGGCTTGCACCAGCATGTCCAATAGAGGAAGAGGTTTTCGAAATCGTCAAGTACTTCTATAATAGTCTGTGTTCAAAGTGTAAACTGTACAGTAATCAGCCTTGTGTATATGAAACAATAAATACTATGCAAACCAATAGAAACACGTTAGCAGTGTGTACAAAGCCCTAAAGAGCTCAGCTCCCGAGGACTTCTCCAGGCTGTGGGAGGAGCTAAAGGCTGTCTTTCACCGAAAGAGGAAGGAGTAGGGCTGTGAATGTACCTGCCAGTTCCTAGGTCAGACCACCCTGAGGTCTCCCAGAGCCAACTTGGTGCTTGAAGTGCAGGTGGCCACAGTCTGGAGATCCTGGCACAGACAACTGGGCTCGGGCTGGTCGGCCAAGTGCCTGGCTCTGACCGCGGGCCCAGCTCAAGGAGAGCAGGAGCAGGATAGAGCTGCCGAGCAGGAGGCTGAGGAGAGACCCTCTTCTATCTAGACTCAGGGCCAGGCCAGGAAGGGAACTCTCAACTGGCTGGTCTTGTCTTGGAGCCCTCAGGGAAGAGCCTTAACGTCACACTAGAGTCTCCTGCAGAGGGAGGCCCGAATCAGCACAATCCGGCTCCGCCATGCCCGGGCGGCGCCCCCTAGGGCCAGGAGAGAAACTGGCAGGCTCTTCTCGCTCTCCCGGAGCCACTGATGGACGGCGGTCACCTTCCTCGCCTGCCGCTCCTCGGGGTGTCGTCGGGACACAATAAAAACCTTCCAAGTAGCACAGACGCCCCTCCATGCCCGTACCCCCCCCCCACGCCCTGGATGTCCTCCCGGGGACTCCAGCCCGCGCGCGCTCTAGCCCCGGACCGGTGCGCGGGTTGGGGGATGCTGTGGTCCACGGGCGCGGCTGGCTTTCCTGGGGGGGAGGGGGCGCCGGCCCCGGGAGGGCGGGCGAGGACGGGCGCGGGGTCGCCCCGCCTCGCCCCGCACCCTCCGCCCAGTAGCGGCTCTTAGCGCCCTGCGCGGCCCGACTCCGCTTTGGCACCCTCCGCTCGGTCTGGCTTGGCTGCTTGGCACGCCGCCCCCCCGCCCTCGGCGGCATGGCTGCGCGCTCCCGTTGCTAGTAGGAGCTGTTTTAGGAGGAGTTTGGGGTCTCCACTTGATGCCTAGAGAATGCTGCAGTCTGCACCTTAGACGCTTTTTAGAAGTTTTGAAATGACCTTGATTTTTTTAATTGTTATGAAAAATGAACTATGTCTCGGCTCTCTCACATGCTCTGTTACTGAGAGAGACCAGCCCACCCTATTCTGATGTATAGACCATTCTCCCTACACCAGCTAAACAAATGTCAAATTAATAAAGAAACGGACTCATGCTACTGGTCTCCAACTCTTCTTCTTGGCTCATCTTTGGGAGTTCGAGGGCAGGAGTATAGCCTGGTTTGGGGTGTGATGGAGTCTGTTGAGTAGCATCAGGAGACACTTCTGCTCCAAGCAGGGGGGTCCACCAACGCCCAGATCCTGGAAAGCCCCGTAAAAAGTGTCATCCCAGAAAGAGCTGACAACCTAGCTATCACGAGAAGGGGGCGGGGCGGGACCCTACAAACCAGAGAACCTGTCCAGGCAGGCTGCTGACCAGGGGGAGGTGTCTGCCCTTGCTGAGATAGCAAGGAGTCCCTGTTCCGAATTAGTTTCCAACACTTTATGCAAAGCTGGGGCTCCTCATCGGTGGCATTTCCTCCTTTGTCAGATGAAGAACAGAAGAAACAGTTTCTAAAGTCTCTTGCATTTGTCATTTGAGGTTACCAGACAACACCCCCTTATCAGCTTTAGCATTAAACAAGAGTCAAATCATTTGCATCGAATGACCTTCCTAACATCTCATTATTATGGTGTGACCAAATCTTTGTCCCTGAAATTGCCTGTACTCCCCACCCCCACCCCAGCCCAAGTGTCTCAGGCACTGAAGGCTCAGCAACTCTCACCCTGCATTTGCATTCCCCAGAGGGTTTTTAAACACTTTTAGTTAGAACCACAATTACCTTGGTTGGGTGGTACGTCTGGAGATCTGGAATAGTTGACACATGGCCTGGTCTACCATGAACCTAATATGAACCGTTACAAACTTTTCCTCGGAGAGTCTTAAGTCCAGACAGCCAAAGATGAACAGAGATACACATCAGAGAAGGGCTATTAACCAAAAGTTAAAAGACACTGGAGAAAGAGAACAACTCAAAGAGCTGCTGAGAGCTAAAAATCAGTTGAAGGCACACTGTAAAGAGGTCATTAAAGAAAATGGAACACATTCCTGTTGATGGCTCAGTGGCTGAAACCACACCAAAAAGCAAAGCCCTGTCCCGATGGTATAAGAAGGAATTCCTGTGGAGCGTAGGAACATCAACTCAGCGGCCTACCTAAGTCCTCCAGGGTGAATTACAACATGTTGGTTTGTTGATTTGGTTTTGAAAGTAAAACTTGTAATAAATTAGAAGTTGACTCCCCAGAATACAGCCCTTTTTTTGTATGGTGAAAAAAAAATAAAAATAAAAACAAAACAACTTTTTCTCAGGCCAAAGAGATGGCACTAAGAAATCTGAATTTGGTTCCTGTCACCTAAGCTGAGGGGCTCACAATTGCCTGAAACTCCAGCTCCAAGGGATTCAGGATTTCTTTGATGGAGACACACAGACACACAGACACACAGACACACACACACACACACACACACACACAGAGAGAGAGAGAGAGAGAGAGAGAGAGAGAGAGAGAGAGAGACTTAAAGGTCTTTAAAAAAAGAAAGAGAACTCTTTCTCATTTGTTTTTTATCCAAACTTGTAGAAAGGTCATCTCGCCTTCAAAATCCTTTCTGTCCAATCCTCACTGAACTCCCCTATGGCACGGAGAGAGCTGCTTACATCACAGTCAGATTCTCCACGGCAAGCCAGCTTTCTCTAGCTCAGTCCTCAGCCTCAAACAAAGCTAACAAAGAAAAGGCTCTCTCCTATGAAAACACAGATCCCTCCAAACAGAAGACAGCATGTTCCCCAAAGTCTAAGTGGCCTGGTCAGGAAGAAGTTATCTAAGTAGCCAGTCACCTTGTGCCTGCCATTTCACCCTTTTGGAGAGTGACTTCAGGAAAGAATTTAGAGACTAGCCTGGCAGGCAAGCCCCGATTCCTCTGTGCCTCTATTTCCCCATTGTCAAATGAGAGATTGTGCCCACAAGAATTAGCAGATTGCAAAAATTCCTCAGAAACAAAGCACATGGCGGTGTTCTTATGGTTAGTGTAGTCCCAAGCCTCAACGCGACCGCCCTGCTTAGAACTCTGCCTCAGGAGCGCAGAGCCTCTCACAGGAGAGAGACTTCACCCAGGACACAGCTGCATAGACTACTGAAGAGACCAAGAAAGGCTGGCTGAAGCAAGAACCATGTTCTCCAGCTTCAGTGGAATGCCCCCCGACCCCCACACCCCTGCAACTCTAGGAGCTGTTCCATGATCCACTCCAGAAGCAAGACGTTTCCCACCCCATGTTCTCAAGTCCAGAGATTTGCATTTCCCCAGAGAACAGAGATTGCTCAGTCTCCCCAGTTACCCTGTCCTGGAGGAGGAAGGGGAAGCAGCTGCATCTTACCTCAAAGCTTCACATCCATTCATACAGGGACAGCTTGGGACTGTGACCTCTGAGCCAGTCTCTCTCTCTCTCTCTCTCTCCCCCCCCCCCCCCAGGGAGCAAATGAAGACTTCCGCAGGAGCCTCCAGTCCCTACCTCCAGGCACCCACCTTTTCTTAGATACTGGACTTGGGTAAGCAAGTGGAGCCTCTGACCACACACAGGGCTCCTAGAGCTAATTCTTTCACACACGCACACTCACATGCACACGAGCACACACACACACATACGGACTGGCTGATTTACAGTCAATCTTTCAAAGTGCAATTTGTCTAGGAGAAGCCAATGTGAGGCCCATGTGGGCTCCAACCAATGGCGACACAGCGCTTCCAGCTCAGCCAGTCTCAGGTCTGTATTCTAATGGGCCATATCTTTATCAAGGAAATGTCCCTTCTCTGAACTTAAAACTTCTGATGGAGGGCCCCCAGACTCAGAGGCAGAGAAACCAGGTGCTCTGAGTATGAAGAACACCCCTCCTTAGGCCCAGCGGGCAGAGAGGGAAAGCGGAAGGCCTCCCACCTTCTCTGGACACCTGACTTTCCAGAGGGCTGACGTAGGTGCCCCATCTCTGAGGAAGAGCCGAGCCAGAGGGCAGTCGGAGGCTCGGGGTGGGATGGGGGGCTCTGAGTATCCAAACCTTCCATGAGACTCCGGGTCACCATTTGAAGCGCTGGACTTTAAGGGCTCCTCAACTTCCGACTCGCTGACCTAGAGACCATGGAGTCTAACCTGCAGGGGACCTTCCTCTTGAACAACACACAGCTGGCCCAGTTCTCAGAAATGAAGGCTCCCATGTGCCAGTACTCGGTGCAGAACTCCTTCTACAAGCTCAGTCCTCCGGGACTTGGCCCCCAGCTGGCGGCTGGGACTCCCCATGGAATCACTGATATCCTGAGCAGACCGGTTGCCACTCCGAACAGCAGCCTCCTCTCTGGCTACCCCCACGTGGCAGGCTTTGGTGGACTCAGCTCCCAGGGCGTCTACTATGGCCCCCAGGTGGGGAGTTTTTCCAAGGCTGGGAATGAGTACCCCACCCGGACCCGGAACTGCTGGGCAGACACAGGTCAGGACTGGAGAGGCAGCGCTCGGCCATGCAGCAACAGTGAGTACAGGGCCTTCACCCGGAGCCCAGCCTGTCCCAAGGAGGAGGCAGGAGGTAGGGGTCTTTTAAAGGTTGGGCTGCACGGGGTCCTACCTCATGTCAGCCACTGTTGCACAGCCCTGCCTGACACCCGGTCCCTTTTCTTAGCTCACAGCAGAACCGAATCCTACGCTCCTCCCTCCTGCCTACTTCCACCTAGCACAGGTGTCTGAACCCACCATCGCTTCTTGCCCTTCAAAGGACCTTGGGTTCTCCAGGCCCCATGAATACAGCCCATACCACCCTTTGCAGCACCCAGCTGGCAGCTTGGTTTGCTTCTGCCCAGAGTCATGCCGCCCCTTCACACGGGGGTGGGGGGGCACAATGCTACCACCCTGGTGAAGAAAACTCACTGAAATTAGTATTGTATCCCTAAAAGCCCAAAGTTACATAGCATTGTTCCAAAACCCACTGGGGTCTCATCCAGAAGCCAGGGCCTATCACCCACCTTCCTGCTCCCCGGTTCCTGTCAGCAATGGCCGGAACAAGAGCGCTAAGTTGACCTTGGCCCTGACTGCTGGGGGGCCCCCTTACCCCACCCATCCCCAAGACTCAGGTTTCTGAGAACTGGCGTGGAGGGGGTGGGTATTATGCCAATCAGGGATCCAGGAAGTGCCAGGGGCATGTGTCAGTGAGGCACACTGGGAGACAGTGGTAGCGACTTTCAGGGTTCTCCCTGGGCCACTAAAGTTCAAGGTGGGATGAACATCTGGCAGGGACTGAGGCAAAGCCCCTTCCTTCTCTTTAATCTCCATCTTCCACACTGCATGCAGGATTTGGAACCAATGATGGAAACCCTCAAAACTCTTGTCTCCCATGTGCTGTGCCTGACCTCACTCATCTCTTGGGACCTATTGTACCATCTAGTTTGGGGTACTATAAGCTCAAGCTGTTTCTCCCACAGCCCCACCCCACACTCCCCCATCCTGACCCACCCCTTGATCTTGAATGCATACACACACTAGAACATAGCCAGGAAAACCAGCGGTCAGTTTAACGCAAGAGGAGACAGAACTGAAGATGACCATCTTTTAGGGTGGTGGTTCTCCACCTGTGGGTCATGACCCCTTTGGGGGACTGAATGACCCTTTCATGGAGATCACATATCAGATATCCTGCATGTCGGATATTTCCAATTCGTAACAGTAGCAAGTTCACAATTGTGAAGTTGCAACAAAATAATTTCATGGTGTTGGGGGGAGGGTCACTACAACATGAGGAACTGTTAAACAGTGTTAAACTATGATAAAGGGTTGTGGTGTTAGGAAGGTTGAGAACCAGTGTATCAGGAGGTCCTTTTCCTCTTCTGGACTGAAGTTCCCTGCCTATGACAAGAGGACAGAGCACACGAGCTGCTGGGGGAACCGAGCATATGGGTAACTCTGCTTACTTTGAGCCTCAAGCTCCGTGAACAGCCAGTCCTGACTGAGTTGAGGGTCTCTGGGCGCTCCAGATGACTCTGGCACTCCAAAGCCAGGCTGTACAATAGATTCCGAGAGGTCTGAGGGAGGGTGGGCTTTCAGGCTGGCTGCTAGGCAGTGCAGCACACGGAGGAAGTGGAGTCAGAAGCCTTCACTTCTGTGCTTTCCCAACAGAGTCTGGGAAGCTGGGGGCTCACAGAAAGGAAGTGGGGAGGGATTCAGAGGCCCCAGAGGTCTGGTTGCAGCTGGAAAGTAGTACCCATGCCTTGGTACATGCACACACACACACCAGAAAATAGCCAAGAAAGCCAGTGGTCAGTTTAACACAAAAGGAAAGGGAATTAATTACTAATTAGGAAGATACTCATCCTAATTTTAGGATAGTAGTTCTCAACCTGTGGGTCTCGACCCCTTTGAGGAGCTAAGAGTGGGGATCTAATTGAAGGCACACCACGTCGTGGTGAAAGGAAGGGCATCCTTGTCTTGGTGTCTTAGCATAGAAAAGAAATCCCCATGAATCTCCTGGGTCAGACAGCATCAGTGGACTATGGGAAAACTAGGAAAGGCACAAGGCCCAGTTCTAAGGCCTCACTGTCTCTACAGCCGGTGCATTGGCCCTCTAGGGACCCTGTCCACCCAGGTGTGGTAGGGGTCACAGTAACTATTATTGTGACTACCAAATGTGCTGATCAAATGACAGGAGTCACTGCATTCCTGGACCTCAGTGGCTTCTCAGGAGGAGAACACATCCCTGTGGGAGGATGAGGACAGGCTGGTCCCCTCCAGGTAGGTTCCCATCTGGGCTCCACTCACCTTGCTAACCATACTTTCCTCCTCCCGACAGCCCCAGACCCCCTGAGTGACACTATCCATAAGAAAAAGCACACCCGCCCTACCTTCACAGGACACCAGATCTTTGCTCTGGAGAAAACCTTTGAGCAGACCAAGTACTTGGCTGGCCCAGAGCGGGCGAGGCTGGCTTATTCACTGGGCATGACGGAGTCACAGGTCAAGGTGAGTCTGTGCAGAAGGTAACTGCCTGGCAGCCTAGCACCTGCCAGGGTAGGAGGCCATTGCGGGAGAGAGAGGCATGTCTTCCCAGCTTACTGTAGGAATTATAATAATTATTAATTCCCACCACCACCACGACAGCCATCTCTACCATCTGAGAGCCTATAAGCAGTATGGTCATTAAGTCTCGCCTCTTCTTGAAGTCAGCACTGTGGCCCATTTTTACAAATAGACGGTATCAGTCAATCAAGCCTGGTACTTATGGTCTTCTGGCCAGCAAGTGCAGAGCTATCAACAGAGATCTGTGGGACACTGACGGGCTGACCCATTTCCCAATCTTTAAAATGAAGATAATACACCCCCTGTTCCCACCCACATGGAGGAGGGTGGCAGAGATCCGACACTGGCTCCTGCACACCTCTTGAGCCCGCAGCAGTCTTCCTACTTTCAACTCTTCATGGTCCAGGGACAAGGGTTCCCATTGCCACCCTAGTCTGTCCACACTTTGGATAGGGACATGGGAGAAGAAACCCATGAACCCTGAAGAGATGAAGAAGTGTCAACAGATTAGGGGGGGTCTGAGGCAAATGGGATCTACCTCAGCAGACAGTCACAGCCACGAGAGAAGGCTGCGGTGTGGAGACGGAAGGAGATGACGACTTAGGCTCCTAAGACACGTTTCTTTGCCTCTGTAGGGCTCCACGGTCTTCAGCCATCTTAGCGTATATGTGATTTTTCTAGGGGCCAATTATACATGAGTTTCCTGGAGATGTGTAAACTTAAAAGAGGGGCGACTTTAGTCATTCATTCCGTTTTGCGTTTCATGCTGGAGGTGCAACAGAAGGCAACGGAGGGCAGGCCCCGGGCTCTGCCTTACACTGTCCTGAGTTCCAGGGACAATTCTAACCAGTGGCATTTCAGAGGCTTTGTCCCAGACGCCTAGACTGCTCCTGAGACAAGGAGGAAGCTACAGCTCAGAGAGGGTTGTTAAAGAACAGGAAAGGGCTGTGGCATGCTTTTATTTTATTTTACTTGATTGTATTTCCCCCTGTGGGTAATGCAAATGTCAGGCTGCTGCACGGTGCAGTGCTGCATGGTCGCTACTTGACTCTGGGGTAGCGAGGCGGCCCGTAGTGGAGGTCGGCCCTGGCATCTCCGTTGCTCTTCGCAGGTGTGGTTCCAGAACCGCCGGACCAAGTGGAGGAAGAAGAGCGCCCTGGAGCCCTCCTCCTCCACGCCCCGGGCCCCGGGCGGTGCGAGCGGGGACCGCGCGGCCTCGGAGAACGAGGACGATGAGTACAACAAACCGCTGGACCCAGACTCGGACGACGAGAAGATTCGCCTGCTGCTGCGCAAGCACCGGGCCGCCTTCTCCGTGCTCAGCCTGGGCGCGCACAGCGTGTGACCCGGGACCAGCCGGGGGGACCAGCCTTCCCCTCCCCTTTCCGTGCAGCCCGCTGTGGGCAGGGACCAGAGGAGAGGAGTTCCGGGGGGAGGGGGAGGAAAAGAGGAAAGAAGTAGGAAGAGGAGGAGGAAGCGAGAGGGAAGGAAGGGGAGGAGGAGAGGGATGGTGAGTGGCCGGAGGGAGGAGATGGCGCACCTCTCTGCCATTCCTCCCCTCTGGGCCCCTTGCCCAGTCAGCCCTGCTCTGAAGTGGGCAGGCTATTCTGCAGCAGGGAACCTGATGTGCTGCTTTCCCTCCTAAGGACCAGCTGGTTAGGGAGTTACACAAGGTACTGCGCCCAGTCGTAGGGTGGGACTGCAAAGCAAAAGATGGAGCCTGAGGTCCAGCTGTGCTTCCTAATGATCCCACTGCCGGGAGCAGGAGGAAATCCACCTCTGTGAGAGGAGCGGGTCCTGAAGACAGGAATCCTTCTAACCCTGAGTTTCAGGGCCCTGTGCCTCCCAACTGCACTTTACTGTCAAAGCAGATCCCGCTGTATCAAGGAAGAGTCTGGGAAAGGGAAGAGGGGAAGCTAGGCAGAGGGAAAACAGATGAACAAACACTAAGGTTTTGTTGTCTCTGGGAGGTACCTACCAAGGCATCCCTGGGAACCCATCAGAGTTTGGGAGCATCTCAGCAGGACAGAGAGAAGGGCTCTGAATGCCTCACTCCTCCAATAAGGGCACCAGACTGGGCGAACCCCAAGCAGGACAAGGGTCTGGGAGTACTGCTGGTCACCCAGGCTTTTAAAACAAAAATAGAATAAAGATGAAAATCCAAGAAATCTCCCCGCGGCTCCTGAGCATCTCTAAAGGGAATAGTGGCAGTGTTCTCTCGTGTCATGAAATTATCGGTTGGGCTGGAAAGATGGTTAAGATCACTTGCTGCTCCTCTGGAAGACTGAAGCTGGGTTCCCAGTTGTAGGCGGCTCACAACTGCCTGTAACTCCAGCTATAAGGTGATCCGACGCCCTCTTCTGGCCTCCTCAGGTACTACATGCATGCTCACAGACACACATGCACTCACTCAGTTAATAATAAAAATAAATCCTTTGTAAAAATAGATAAATCTATCTTTAAAAAGAAAAAGAAGAAGAAACCATCATCCATAGACCAACTTGTTATCTTCAGTTACCTCCTTTTCTTCCACATCCCAGGTGTTTCAGGGTTAAGGGGAAGGGACCAGTCCTGTGCTCACCGCTGCCAGTTTCTTCCTTGTCAGGCACCTCAGGCTCCAATGGGTGAGCACAGATTTTGGCCACAGCTTGTATCATTCCTATTAGAAGGACCTGGGTCATGTGTCCAGTGATGGGTTTCAGATTAGGAGTCCAGGCATACTGTGGACTGTTCTTTTGAGCACGGGACTTATTAGGAGAGTTATTAACACCATAGAAGGACAGCACAGAGGGAGCTCTGAGTAGCCACGAGGCTACCTGCGAGTCCTGTCTTCTAGATCTCAGGAGATGGAGGGCCCATGTTAGTGGTTCTCAACCTGTGGGTACCAATTCTTTTGGGGGTGTCAAACAACCCTGTCACAGGGATCACCTAAGACCATCAGAAAACATTGATATTTGAGTTACGATTACAACAGTAGCAAAGTTACAGTTATGAAGTAGCAATGAAAATGTGGTTGGGGGTAACCACGACATGAGGAACTGTATTTAAGGGGAATAGCATTAGTTTGTGCTCGCAACTCCTCTTGCCCAGGAATCAGAGACAGCCTGCCTGCAAGCACAGAGTATGGAATACTTCTCATGTGGCACGGAACACTGGTTCTCAACCTTCCTAGTGCTTCCTAATGTTGTTCGTTATACCAAATATACCACCTGTAGTCCCTGACAGCTGAGAGTATTTATAAACGTCCTTAGGGGGGATATGGGGATTACAGACACGCAATCAGCTATGTCGGGGCGTCAGCTATGTCTTTTGCTGCAGCTGGGGCGGGGGTGGCAAAGAGGGCAAAATGGCTGAATGGTCTCAGCTCCAACCTAGTACTCAAGTGAGGCCAGGTGAGAAGAGGTAGCTGCCAGTGTCTTGCGTGTCTTGCCAGGTTCAGAATGGCCATGCCCTGACAGCAACGATCAAAACCAGGGACAGATGCTGAACTTCCATTTCTGGAATCTGACTCCATGCTCAGGCCATCCTCAGGCTTGATCTTGGAATTCCATAACCCTCCAAAGTGACGGGACAGAGAAGCCAGTGGACGGAGCTGGGCCACTCTCTGAACCCTTGAGTGAACTGTTTAACTTCTGTGACTCAGTTTACTCGCCTGTCGATGGAATAATAATTACACGTGCATGCGAGTAAGACAGAAGTAATGAGCAAGGCGTGAAGAAACAGGCCTTTAATCCCAGCACTCAAGGAAGAAACAGGTCAAAGCCAGCCTGGTGGACTTAACAGTTCTAGGCTAGCCAGGCCTCGATCAAAAAGAAGGGCAAACACTGAGATTCTATAGCTGTAAGTCAGTGAGACTATGTCAAAGAAAAAGAAAGAAAGAAAGAAAGAAAGAAAGAAAGAAAGAGAGAGAGAAAGAGAGAGAGAGAGAGAGAGAGAGAGAGAGAGAGAGAGAGAAAAGAAAAGAAAAAATGAATGTACCTGGCAGATACCAACAGGCAATACCATTCTCAAGCACTAAAACCTTGCATCCAACACATGTCTTCTGAAACATTGCTGGGCAGAAACTCAACTGCCACAGTACTAAGGAGTGAAGCCTCTGCAGGGTGGCCTGCCCAGGAAAACTCCACCCCTCATGCACTAGGCTGGTGACTCTTAAAAGGAGTTGAGAGAGGGAGTTCAACTCTTTTGGGTCCTTTGTCTCTTCGAAGTGAGGACACAGTTCCAGTTACCATCTTAGAAGCAGAAATGAGTCACCAAAACTGGGGGTACCTTAGGCTTCTAGTCTCCAAGTGCTGGAATCACTCGGGCTGGGGCACTGGGGTATAGCAGAATGGATGTGTGAAAGACACAGGCCAGTGTGTGGCTCCCCGCTTCGGCAAGTGGCAGCCGGAGCGCTGGGACTCAGTCAGTACATTTCTCTTTAAGGCTGGTGCCTTGACTATTGCTTGAGGCTGGAAGACCAATTCTGGGAGACAGATGAGATCCAGTGAACTGTGCTCTGAGTCCAGAAGGGCACGGGCACTTAATACCACACACCCTACTCTTCCTCTTCCGGTTCGCACTAGTGGTCAAGGTTGGGACACATGGACTGATAGTCATAGCTACTGGCTCCTTTATGTGCCCAGACCTCCATGGGCCAGCTGCAGCCTGGAGGTCATGAAAGACTCGGGGTCGGGGGCAGATTAATACCACTGAAAACTCTATTGGAACTCTGGACTACAGCATCAACCGCAGCTTGCAGGGACAAGTGCTTTTATGGAAAGCATGTGCCAGTAGGAGACCCTCCCCTTACCATCCTCCCCCTCTCTCAACATTTGGAGTCCATAAGGTCACATCACTCGCCTGGCCACCGCAGGCTTTTGTGCCTGTGCCTGTTGCTCCAGGCTTCACTCGGCATCAGCGGGGTGCAACAGGGGTTCTTGCTTGCTCCCTGAAATGCTGTGGTGGTCGAGGGTGAAGACTCCAGCACCACTTGCAAATGATGCTTGCATAGCTTCGGTGTCCTTCCGCCAGTCACCTTCCAGCTGCTGCAGATGGCTGGCATTGCTATCCTCCAGACGGAGATGCTGAGGCAGAAACTTGGGGCGCCATACTCCGGGCGCATGCGCTCATGTTCATCCTGCTCTCTGGCACGCTCACATCCCACAGTATTGCTGACAAACTCCTGCTGGTACACTCCTGGAGCATTTGTTAGATATTTGCGAAGTGCCCTGGGCTTCCCTTATCTCACCTCAAGATCAGAAATCCTCAGGGATGGGTGTTCCTTCACACCTCCTTTATGACTTATTGGTAGTGCGTGAGGTACCAGAAAAGCCATGGAGTTTCCTGAGCAACCTCCTGGTCAATCCAGGCTGCCTCAGGAGCTCCCAGTTTTAAGTACATAATACAATAATTAAAAATATAAGAAAAAATAAAATTTAGATAACAAAAATAATAGGTTAAAATGTAAGAATAGCATGGTAACTGACAGCTATTATCCCAGCTCTTGAAAAGCTGAGGCAGGAGAGTATGCACTTGATTCCAGCCTACATTGTGAGTACCGTTCCATCTCTGTCGAGATGGAGGAGCCTGCCTTTTCCAGATGAGAAATTCAGAAGCAGCTTTTCTGTGGAGAGTAAGAACAACTGTGTACAAAGTAAGGAAGAAGCCAGTGATGTGACAACCTTCGTGTGATAAAATGTCACCAAAGTTTAAAAAAAGAAAGGAACAGGCCAAGCTATGGAGTGAACTCTTGTATAAAACAAAAAAATTATAAATAATAAAAAAAAAAAAACAATTGATGAAAAATCAGGGCTGGGACACACAGCTCAGCGCTGGAGGACATGCTTAGTGTTCTGCCCTGGGGTCCATCCTCAGCACCAAAACAAAGTAAATAAAGCAAGATTGACATAATAAAGAATAACAACACTGCAGGATGGAGGAAGGATCACCATATGTGTGCGTGTGTATACATATATGTATATATACATATATATGTATGTATATGTATATTGTATGGGTGTACATGTGTGTATGTGTGTACATGTGTGTATGTGTGTGTGTCTGTATGTGTGCATGTGTGTATACACAAGTGTGGATATGTGTGTGGATGTGGGTACATGTGTTTGCATGTGTGCACATGTGTGTGTGCATGTGTGTGTATATGTGTCCATGTATTTGTGTATGTATGTGTGTTTGTGTGCACGAGTGTGTGTGTATGTGCCTGGCTCTGCAGTTGGAACTGCTGGCATCATCCAGGAACAGCTGCCCCAGCCTCAAAGATGCTCTGGATCTCAAAGAAGACAAGGTATTAGGGTGGAAGGGAATTCCAGATCTCAGCGCCCTGAGGCATGTCTTAAAGTGACA